GAGGTTTCCAGCCCTGGCTTTATGAGGAGTGAATGGAGGCCTGGGTTCACATCCCCTTCCACGGGCAGGAGGAAGCAGCGGCCCRGCCACCGCCGTCGTTCCCAGGACTGCGGCCCGGCCTGAGCCCTCCCACAGCCCCGAGCTGCAGCCTCCTCCAGGACACCCAGCTGAGGCACCGAGCGGGCACTGACTGGGCGGCCCTTCCTCCCCTTCTCCAGCTCCCTTTGCATCTTGGCGCTGGCATCGCGGCCGCATGGAGCCCAGCGAGGAAAGGAGTCACAGGGCTTGCACCTGGGCATTGACGGGCCCAGGTCAGCTCGGCCTTGCCACCAGCCCCGTGGCTTTGGCCAAGGACACGCWCTCCTTGGGCTGTGATCCCCACCTTTGGGCAGACACGTAGCTGCCTTTGGGCTCAGCCCCGTCTTCCCCAGGCTCTGCACACACAGTCAAACCCGAGCAACAAGCAGCGGAAAGCTCAGCACCTCTCCTGATTAAAAAGCCTGCTTTGTTTGCAGTGTTAACGCYGCTAAATTACATGGCTGTGCTTTGTAATTTGGCAGGGGGCAGGGCGAGGGGGGTGGATTCGATTAAATAGGAAAAGAACTAATTTAAAAGTGGAGGTATTTTACTTTCCGTGCAAAGTAAGAGAGCCTGTGGAGTTTCCTGTCCGCGAGATGCATTTAAGTCTTAAAGCACGCTGCGTCCCTGAAAGGAGTAAATAATTACTGGAACAACTGAAATGAATTCCATGAATTACTGGAACAACTGAAATTGTAACCATGCTTCAAAGAAATCCGCCCCCCCTCAAACTTCAGGAAAATTGAAAATCTTTAAGGCATCAGCTGGTCTCAAGAGACTAGAAAGACTTTCTGTGGGGACCAGGTTAATCCAGATTTGCTAAGGGCATCTTGTACCTCCTCTCTAGGGGCTGATGCCAGCAGTTCTGGAGCCAGTACCAGGGTACGTTGGGCTCATGGGTTCACCCTGCCTGTGGATGTACACTGGCACCCTCATTGTGGAATATGAATATTGCTAAGAAAAGGCGGCCATGGCAGGACCAAGGAAGCCGAGATCTGTCTTGTGGAGCCCATACACCGCTGCTGTGGGCCAGGGCACAGCCGATCATCTCCAAACATGTTGTTTTGGAGGAGGGCAAAGACTTGCAGGTGGTGTCAGCCTTTGCYGATGCTGCTACGAGTCAGCCTGGCAAGGAGCAGAGGGCTCAGGCTAACTCTAATCTCATTCTCGTCACTTGCTGCCTACTGGTTTCACCTCCCAAATATCCAGGTAAACTTGTCCATCTTCTGCCAGCACTCCTCAGCGAAGACATCCAGCATCCAGACCTCGGGGAGATGGATGGGCTGGATGCTGGGAAAGACAACAGCTTAGGAGCTCGGTGAGAGCAGCAGCGAAGCAGTTTGCTTATTAAATTGTATCATCCCATGTGCACTGCCTTGTTTTTGCAAAGCAGCGAGGATTGCCAAGCTGTTTGTGGTTAAAGAAAGCAGCCTCTCCATGATCCTGCTCCTCATCTCGCCTCATTAGGGGCCCGGCCGCTTTGGAGTTGTGCCCAAGGAAAGGCTCACGGGGCAGTTGTTCATCCTGGTGGCGGGCCAGGACTGTGTGCTCCTGATAGCACCATTTCCTTTGAAATCAATTGAGATGTCACCATCGCTTGGTCCCCGAGTTACTTAATGAACTGTCAGAATGGTCTCTATTTTTAGACCGCCCTCAAAACTACCGTGTGTGTTAAAACTCGCCTTGTCTTTAACGATGAAACGGCGGGATTGAGCAGGATTTATTAGCTCGGTTTAACGAGAGGCACACAAAACTGAAATAATAAGCTCCATTTCCTTGAAAGCAAGGAAAATTAAAAGGGCATGGTTACAGTCCTGGCAGCTGGCTCGAGACGGTAAAGCGATACCTTCACGTGTGGCCAGAAGGATAAGGTGGAGCTGCGTTTTCTTCTTGTCTAAGTTACGACAGTGGAGCCAATGTCAGAGCCAAAGATTACATACACACGACTGCTGGGAGCTCTCGAAAGCTTTGTGGATTGGGTTTCTGAGTGTTTTCGGAGTAGGATAAAACCCTTGGTGGTTTATCAGACAAGCTCAACAACTTAAATAAGATCTACTTCGTGGCATATATCGTGAGGCCTAGAATGTCTTCCCCTCAATGTTTATAATATATGTCAGGAAAGTATTTTTGCTAAAACGAGGAATAAACAGAGCCATAGGTAATTTAGATGTTTTTACTTCTTACTGGAGTCTGAAGCCAAGCTGCATAAAATGTAATTTCAGGAAGCCACTAGGAATGGCTGGAGGCTGTGCCTAGTGCTTGTGCTTGCGCCCGTGTGCCCCTCTCCGGCCCTTGGCTGTTTCCCGGCCTCCAGCGTTGCACAGCAGTGACGTGAAGAAATGGGTTGCATTTTATTAATGAAGTGGCGGTTCCCTCTTATTCTTCCCCCTGCCTCACCAAGTGGAATTTGGTGTAATTGCAGCTGCATCCCTACTTGCTTCTCTTGCATAGCTGAAGTAACTAAATAGCAGGAACTATCGAAACCTAAACAAAGCCCGTGTAGCAGAACATGGGATGTACCAAGTGGTTGGCTCTTGAGCCCTGGCTCAGTGTGGGAAGAGGATATAAGAGTATGGATTAGGGCGTGTGTGTGTGCCTGGGTTGCTGCTGAGCAGGCCGAGTTTCTTCCTGCTGCCCTGAGCTGCAGGGAGCAGTGTGGCCATGTTGCATGCAGCGCCTCATGTCCTCCTGTGGGGCGCGGTGCGGCCATGTCGGGTGCAGCACCTCATGTACCCCTGTGGGGAGCGGTGCGGCCATGTCGAGTGCAGCGCCTCATGTCCCCCTGTGGGGAGCGGTGCCTCATGTCCCCCTGTGGGGAGCGGTGCGGCCATATCGAGTGCAGCGCCTCATGTCCCCCTGTGGGGAGCGGTGCGGCCATGTCGAGCGCAGCATCTCATGTCCCCGCGCAGTGTGGCTCGAAGCAGCTCTGCTGTGCTGGACCACACTCAGATGGCAGAGATGGGAGATCGGGTCCATCCCAGTTTGTCACAAGAGGTGTCCCCTGTTCCTCCGGGCTGGGAGGACCCAGGGAGATGCCCTGGGCCTCCTGGGCCCTGCTCAGGAGGGTCTGAGGGAAAGCTCTCTGCTCATCGCCATGGCCGCGCTGTGGCGATGGAGAGGTGTGAAGGAAGGGGCTTGATGAGGGTGGGCAGGCAGTGGGCTCCACACTTCCAACTGCAGCTTTCCAGCCCAGGGAGAAGGTCAGGGAGCAAGAAGCTGAGGTGGATGGAAGATGGGAGAGACCTGAGGCACCAGGGAACGTGGTGGAAGTTAGAAAGCACGACTGGAAAGACTTTGCTCRTTCATAAGGACGAGCAAAGATTAAGTGATGGGATTACCTCCGTAAACAAAGTGTGCTTTTGCATTAAACATGCACATTGGTTTTACCTGGACGTGATCTTTGGCTCCCTGAAGGAGCTGACTTGCTAAACTAGCACCACTGCACAACCTGGTACACACGTCCTGTCTGGTACACACGTCCTTTCTGCAGAGACGAAGCCAAATGCTTCACATAGGCACCTGGCCAYGGGCTTTTTGCCCCTGTGCTTCAAATATCCATCCCTCCAGAATCAGTGCTGCCCTGGGTGCCTGTTTGCTTCTCACTCCTCTAAAATCACTGAATAAGTGATTTTTGTGTGGAAAGAATCCCTCATGAGGGTAGACGAACCATAAGCAGTGGTTTTATTAGACTAATAGTTATTTTGCTCTTCAGGGGAATCACGTTATGTGGAACCATGTCGCAGAGCGTTTGGTATTAGCTGCGGACTCTGAGGTCAATGCTGCACCACCTTGAAAAATCACCGAGTAATAGCTGGGTGTGYGACTTCAGAAGTGATGCACAGCAATTAATGATGGAGAGGAGTAAAAAGCCAAAATTGAAGAGCATTTTCTATTATAGATCCCTGTTATCTGCCATTGTTATCTTTTCCTGAATTTTTACCCTTTGAATCAAAATCAGAAGATCTAGACTCCATGTTAAAGATGAGTTTYGGTTTTCTTGTTTTGGGGAGAAGATGGGATCTCAAGGATCACTCTGTGGTGTTTTGTCTAAGAAATCTCCTACCACTGTAGCTTAATAAAGGAAGTATAAAAGAAGAGAAAGATATTGTGCTCTTCCACAATGTAGATGTTGTAAAGAGTAACCCTGAGCAGCTCAGCACCTCTGCAGAGAGACCAGCATGGAAAAGGACGTGTGTGCCCATGCTGCTGGAGGTGGCAGGTCTGTAGACTGCCACCTTTTATTGTCACCTGCACCTGGGCAAATGCCAATAGCCTTTGACACTCACCTTGCATTTGCTAGTGCAAGGCAGCAGGCAACGGATGAGCAAGTTCCTCGTGTCTCTGTGCGTTTACTCCGGACAACTCAGGGTGAGATTCTGTGGGTAAATTTAAGATGAGCGTTTCCAGACTTCTGGCTGCTTCCCTGTGTAACCCTCAACAGCTTCTACTGAATTTGCTTTTTATCCACAACATTCATTGTTATTCAGCTGTGGAAGCTAGCAATAACATGACATTTTCCTTTAAGTGGTCGTATCTCTAAAGATGCTGTCGTGATGTCTCTGGAAGTTTGTTGAGCTGAACAAATGGCAATAAAAGCGACACTCAAATTTTGTGAAAACGCATGGAAAAGCAACTGAATGAGCTGATTTGGGTACTGGAGGCACCCTGGGGGCATTAGTATGGTGCCTGCAGAGGATTTGCCTAGGAATGCCCTTAGGAAAAAATATTTAGTAGTGTCCAAAGGCACCCCTGAAAGTTACTTATTAAAGTATGTGCTGGCTTAATGCAATGATGTGCTTTGGAAAATTGTGATGTGCAGTGGAATTTTTTTATCCTTTGTTTTATTAAAAATGAAAAGAATTCTATCAACTTCTCTGATTTGCAAGTAAATCGGGTTTGGTCTTTGTTTTGTTTTGTTTTAGGTCATGGAAACAGAAAAGTCTCAAGATCCAGCTTGTGCAGAAGTGTCCAAGGGAAACAACCAGAGTCCAACTCTGGGAAGTGGCATATTGAAATACAGAAGTCGATCCCAAGGTAAAGCAGGATTGATAAAAGATAGGAGCAGTAGAATTTTTACACAGTGTATTTCTTTTAGCTCTCTGAAAGTGAGAGCTAAAAGAGGTAGCTTTTCTTTCCTTTGAACATCATATTAGTTTAGTTTGGAGAAAAAAAAATCTAGCTGTAGCATGTTTGTATTCAGCTCCCGAAGTTGAACTACTATATTGACAGAAAGGTTTTGGAAGTTCCTTTTTCCTTCCTTATTTTTAAGGGGATATGTGCAGTCTTTCAAAACACCATCCCCAAAATACCCATTTATAGCAGATACTCCCCACATTTTCTACTGCGTTGCCTTGTGCTCGAGGTCTTGACATTGAGGCCGCATGCAGAGCTCAGTCCTTTTCTCATCCCTGAGACTCTTAGAGACTCCATCCCTGCTGCGTTCACCTTGGTTTCCATTTTGAAGGGCTAATGTGGGTCCCTGGCCGAAGGACATGCCAGGAGATGGCTTCTGCCAAAATAGTGGGCCAGGGTGTGTTTGGCAGCAGCACCTGCGTGCCTGGGAGCCAGGAGTTCTAAAACCAGAGGTACTTTTGGACTCCAAAGCAGGGTGCGGGTTGGGAGCTGCGCTCTTGGAGATGGGCACAAATTCCAGCTATGGGAGCGGCTGGAAAATCACTGGTGCTTGGTGAAAACAACCTACTGCCCCGRCTCAGTGTCCGCTCAGCGTCTCCCTTGCGCTGGCACCGGTGGCTTCGTGGCCTCTTGGGGAGGAGAAGGTGGCCCAGGGTGGGTCTGGGGTGACTCGCAGGGTGACTTTGCAACGGATGCGTGACCTGTGCGTTGCCCATGAGTCCCATCCTGTCTAGGGACCTGCTGATGGAGAGGGAAGTGAAAGCAGAGCAGCCTCCTTCGGTGGCAGCTGCAATTTAACTTGCCTTAAAGTGATCTTTAAATACAACTTGTGTGAATTTTGTCTGCATCCTAGGTTTTCATCTGTAAAGTAGGGGTTGACGGCCCTTCCCTGTGTGACAGGGAAATTGCAGAGACAAACGCGTGAGAGCTGCTGTGAGCGGGGGTCACGTAGGTACCTCGGAGAAATGAGAATTGGAGGAGCCCCATTGTGAGGAACAGGGAACTCAGGGACTAATTACAGGATGTCCTTCAAGACAAATAACTCTGTTTCTAATGTGAATTCTGTTTTTATGTTCTTCTCCTCTTCAAGACACTAGGACAGTTGCTAGAAGGAAAGAAAATAACTTGGCACACATTTSCTTTCTCCATTCCAGAGAAAAAATCCCTCAGATTGACACAACACCTCTAGAAATGTATTCAGCTATAGTGTCAAGCCTTTTAATTTTAAATAAATGAAATTTGAGAGCTTAGTGCAGTGGCAAGTGCCAGTGGGTGAGAACCGCTGAATTTCCTTTCTGTCCCAGAGCTACCGGCTCAATTATCTTTTTACCACCACAAGCAACAGTGCTGGAGATTTCAGGCTCACTGAATGGTCTTATAAAACCCGGGACAACCGGGAAAGTTTTTATTTGAAGATGATCAAACCTAGCTTGTAGCTGCCTGGTGGCATAGCACATGGTACTGCTTGAGCTGGGATTTGCAGGTGATTATTGCATGCTGCTGTGAGGATAGYCCACTCCAGAGAGAGCCGCCAGACATGGCATTGCTGGTTTTTTTTCCTAGGTGCTGGATCCCGGTTAGAATCCGTGGGAGAAGATGACGAGCTGATGGTGGAAAACGGTGAACCAAATTATGAAATAGCAGTGAAATATTCCCGGGGAGGGAGAAAACACTCTCTGCCCCAGCAGCTGGAGTCGGCAGGAGCCAGGCAGGTGGGTAAGGAGCCCGGCTCTTGACAGCTTGTTTCCTTCATGAGCTTGTGCTTGGTCCTTCAAGATCTGGCTGACTCTGAGAAGTGACTGTAATGAAATGTGGCTGCACGTGCACATCACAGGGACTGAAACCTAATTTTGACACTAAAATGGGCTCTGTTAGGCGCAGACGGAGAAGCTTTTTGCTGTGGGGCTGGTGAAGAGGGTACTTCTGCTATGGCCAGGCCCAAAGGCTGATATCTATGGGATGTAGGTCTAGAGATGTGAGCACAGAAAAGCCCCACTTCTCTTTATTTTAATCACACGATGATGTCAGCCTTTTTAGTAGATAAGAACTTCACTCTATCCTGAGCCTCCCCTTAATCTTTTTAATTTAAATTGGAACTAGTACACTGCAAAATGCTCTTACTGTGCAAAATGTGGGAAAATTATGGCTAAATTTTCTTCGACTGTAATGAGCAAGGATTTTATCCCCTGRATGCTTATTTGAATATATCTTTCTTTTTGCTCCTATCTATGTGATTCCTTTCCTTCTCCCTGATGCACACAATTTTCCCAGCGTGATGTCCCGGTGCCTGTTGCAAGTAATCAGASTAACTTCCTGTGTTTGTTCATTTTTATTAGGAATATCATATTGTGAAGAAGTCTACCCGCTCCTTCAGTGCTGCCCAGGTGGAATCCCCATGGAGACTGACCCAGCCATCCATTATTTCTAACATTGTCCTCATGAAAGGGCAGGGCAAGGTGAGCGCCTCCGCACGTGGCCGGTTCCTTGCATGTGCCAAATGCTGATGCTTAACAGCCTGAAGCATCTCCAGCTCCCTGGCTTCCAGCACRTGGCTTATTAAAGGAGAGGCGTTGCCTAGTGGTGACTCTCAAAAATAGCCAATAAAAATAACAACACAGTCCATCTTTAAAAGTGAACGCCAAAATTACGCCTGCAAAATAGGGGCGAAGCAGTGGTTGTGTCACGCGCCTRGGGCGGGGTGGCTTTGAGTCTCATTTGCTGTGTCTGGTCAATGCTGAGCTACCAAGTATTAAAACCAGGCCTATAAATATGTATGGCTGTACGGAATTGGGGCTGCTGCAGAACAATACCTGCTTGCACGCGCAGTTCTGGACAAGCATGTTTTATCTCTGAGCAATCTGGGTACGTTAAAAAACACAACACACTAAATTGCTCCCAAGGATAGGTTGCTGGTTGGTTGTTTTTCTGAGAGTCCTGAATTCTGCAGGTCACAGGATCCTCTCCCTGCTTCCCCCTCCCATACTAACGTGCTTGCACATTCACTAGATGCCAGCAGGCTGAGCACTGAGGAGCAGAACTGGATTTCCACAGTCTAACCCATATGAGTATGGGAGCTCTTACTTTTCTGTGCTAAAAATACGTGGGTTTTTTGTTGAAATTTGGTTTTAAAATAATCAGATGAATGTATTATGGACTATAATGCCTTATTTTGACTTTCTAGATTGAGTACAGAATGAATTTTTTTGTTGCGCGTTCACCAGAGAGTTAGAAATAAGGGTTGCTCTGATAGACCAGCCCAGTTATGATAGCTCTCCTTGATTTGGGACTTTCAGGTCTTTCATGAYATTTTCAAGCAAGTGTTTCTTGATTTTTGTTTTCACTTATTTTTTGAACCTGTTTTTCTTATGAGAACTGCCTTTTTTCTCCCCACATGTGAGCTGCCTCCGCCTGCCTTTGTGCAGTTGACTCTAGAGCATGGTGAAGCAGGTGGCAGCAAATGGCAGTGGCTGTGAACCCACTCCACGAGCTGCTGTTTTGGGTTCCTTTCACCCTGTTGTGGGCAATCACTTCTCTTAGGATAATCCTCTAGCAGTGTTTGCTCTGTGATCTCTCTGCACACCTGGGACTTGAAGAGTTTTTCCAGGAATCCCTGTTTGCAGATGGCTGGGAGCCAAGGATGAAACCTAGGATTTGGGTTTTTTTTTTTTTTTTTTTACCTCTTTAGGTAGATCTGTTTGGGGCACTTTTCCAGCAGAGAGTTGCAGGACCTCTCCAGGAAGGTGCACCAATGTGGGAACCATTCTGCCTTCYAGGAGCGTTTCTCCTGGAGCTGTGGGAGAAGTGTGTTGGAGCAGCCAGGGTCCCGGGCTGCTCTGGGGTTGATCATGGTGCCGTAAACCCCAGTTTGAGTCATGTCGGGCTGCACGGTGGAGCTGTGATCTCTCCTACCCGGAGATCAGTAACAGCTTATCAAATTACTAAAGGCTCATAACAATCCATAGGAACCAGTTGTCTGCCTTGTATTCCAGGGAGAGCAAGGGAGGCCGTGTGTCGTACCGGGTTGTAAACACGGTGTTAGTGCCTGCTCGGCCAGCCCCCCTCAGCCAGCACTGCCTGAGGCTCCAATAACAACCATTGCTTCAGATCACTGAAGCACAGCAGTTTCTCACTTCCCTTGTCCACCCGGCTGGTGACTTTGCTCCCTTAGCATGTCAGATATGCATGCAGGGGTGACAAGAGGAGAAATGTAGAGGGATGGATCAAGGAAGCAATTTGGCTGGGAAATAACTGGGCGGAAGGGGGAGAAGTTGGTTCTGCTCCTTCATTCCCTGATGAGCTTCATGAGATGGTCCCCCAGCCCGCCAGGGCAGTGCACGGGCAGGAACTAACAGATGGAGCCCTGAGGAAGACAGTGATCGAGATTTATTTAAATACAACGTGGTACATGTCTCCAGAATGATTAAAAATATATATGTGCATGACAGCCCCCACCACACCAGCCCTTATAGCTGCATTGCTGACATTACAGCACTGACCTTATGTTATGTTCTTAAGCTTTTCTTTTTCCTGAGGAAATGCAGGGTCTGTGACAGCACAGTTGATCCTAGATATAGATTTCAGGGGTGAGAATTCGCTCTCTGTCAATTTAGGGACAACACATTACAGTTTTTGAAAGTGTAATGGGACAAGACAAAACCACTGATTCAGTGCACCACAAAAATAACTTTGTTGGCTCATTTTAGTTTCACATGCTTGCTGCTGCCTTTTAGGCTGTGGAGTGAAAGTAAATCAGGAGATGTAAGCAGCGGATGAGATTTCAGTGTGGTGCCTGGAAAGCTATTACATTTTCATCTTTCCTTTGTCCTTGTGTGTTATCAGGCAGTTTTTCTCAGACAGGTGATAATGGAATAAGGTGCCAGCTGTGCATCTCTTCCTCCTTTTTCTGCAGGGGCTTGGATTCAGCATTGTGGGAGGCCAGGATTCCGCTCGCGGACGCATGGGGATTTTTGTGAAGACTATATTTCCCAATGGAGCAGCTGCTGCTGATGGAAGGCTTAAAGAAGGTATAGTAGTGAGAAGTTGATTGCATATGAAGGACCCCGGTAAGATACTGCTCCAGTCCAGCAGAAGAAATCAAGTACTGCTGTAGTGAGGCACCTGGCTATCTGCAGGGAACTGTGGAGGATGTAACACACCCTCATAGTCTGTCCTGGGGAAGGTTGATCATAGCAGCCAACTTGATTATGTTGCATTTGAGAAGGGAAAGCTACAGCATGAAGCTTTTTTCCTTTTGGTGAACTTTATTTGACCAAGCCATAAGTTCCACTTCTTCGGCTAGGGTGTGACACTGTTAGCAGTGAAACATTTCTGTCTAGCCAACATCTGGCTAGAAGTGCTTGGCCAGGAAGGGGTTATGCAGAAGGCCGGGCTTGGAAGAGCCTCATCTGGACCTCTGTGATCTCCAAGCCTCTTTGCAGTGTGATTTAGATGTGAAAAACAAGTAAAGGTCGCAATCAGATAAAGCAAAGGGGAAGGATAGAATTGTCCTACACAGCTGTTGAGAGAAGCAGGTATGACCTGATTATTTTTTATTTTATTTTATTTTATTTTATTTTATTTTATTTTATTTTATTTTATTTTATTTTATTTTATTTTATTTTATAATTATTTTTACTTATTTTTTATTTATTTTATTTTCTATTGTATTTATACTGCTTTTCCAGTCTTGAGCTCTGAGCTGGGTGTATTGGCCCCTGTGTGTGTGTTGGGACACTGGTCTGAGTGTTCCCATGCCAGGCAGACTCTAACATGGTCAGAAGTTGGAAGCGATCATGAATGCAGAGCAGTCATTTACAGCYCTTCTGCGGGAGCTGGGTTACTTCTCTTGCACGAGAAGCTGCCCCTGTGTTGCTTCTCTCCTCCTCATATCAGCATTTCCCTCGTTACATCCCATCAYACTTGTTGCATTTGAGGCTGCTTTTGGTGTCAACTCGCAAACTTCCTGCCAGAGAGAAGCAGGGGTCCCTGGAGCATTGGTTGGGCGCTGACCATGGGAAGCCAACAAGGAGCAGCTGTCCCACAGACCCACCAAGTCTTCACAGGATATTCAGAGCTCTCTTTTTTTTTTTTTTTTTAAACTGGAACTAAGTAAGGAGAAGAGGGGAAGACTTGGCTGATGGATGACATTGCTATATCTAATTGTGCACAGATGCAAGCGTATATWAAACTGCAGAAAGCAGCTCTGGATYCTGCTCACTTTGCCCTTCTTTTAATAAAAAACTAAGAGATATCAACAGAGCTGAGTGTAAGTGGCAAGGCCCAGAGCCTGGAAGCCTGGAAGAAGTGGGCAGACATGTGGTGGTGCCTGTTCTCTGGSGTGAGGAAAGCTGTCCCAGCCGGCRGGCCACTTGCTTTTCTCACTGCATGTGCTCAGTGAGTGGAGCACGTTTGCCTTTTTGATATGCTGTGGTGTTTCACTTAAATTCTTATTTCTGTTATTGATGCTCACCAAAGAAAGGGAATTTTGTGGTCCCCTTGGACCTCATGTTATGAGCATCTCTATTTCAGGCTGCAGTTAAAATCTGGAGTGTTTCCAATTTGTTATTAAAAGAGCACTCAGGATCCCTGCAGAAGAACAGGCTTTACTCTGCTAACTCATCACTCTATTAACTTGTAAAGGGATTAGGACAAGTAAAAATAAACTGAAAATAGTAAAAGGCTTTTTATTGAACAGTAAATTAGAATCCACTTGGTAGCAGGTTGCTTTATTTATGAGGAGTTTTGCTACATCTCTATACTTTGTATATTGCTGACTTCATTTTTGTATTTGATTTCCAGGGGATGAAATACTAGAAGTTAATGGAGAATCTTTACAAGGGCTGACCCACCAGGAAGCCATTCAGAGGTTTAAGGTAACAACCACAGATGTAGTGAGACGGACGTCTGTGCTTCATTCAGTGCCATTCAGCACCTTCAGTTTTATTCTTTTGCTCTCACAATTTATTGTACTGCGAAACATTGGCCTCTCCATTGCCTGATTGTGTGATTTTTCTGATGYCTCTCCAGCAACTCAAGAAGGGGGTGGTGACCCTCACCGTGCGCACGCGGCTGCGCAGCCCCAGTCTCACGCCCTGCGTGACTCCCACCCTGCTGAGCCGCTCCAGCTCGCCCAGCTCCAGCGCCAGCGGAGGGACCCCCGTCCCCGGCTCCGACGACACGGATGGCTCCTCCTCCAGTCGCAAAGGCCCCGGCCCCAAGGATCGGATCGTCATGGATGTGACGCTTAATAAAGGTGAAGTTTCCTTGAACTGCTCTCTGAGAATGCAGCTGTTCCTTGCAGGAGGTTCTGGGAATGTGGGTGTGATGCCCAGGGCACTTACCGATGTCATTTTGGTTCTGGAGAGCTCTCTGTGAACCACAGGATTGTTGCCCCGCAAAAAAAAAAAAAAAAAAACCCACATGCTGTAGTGAAGAGCCCTTTAAAGAGGTCCCCCTTTCATGTTTTCCTTCTTCCAGAGCCAAGAGGAAGCTCCTCCATATTCATGGCAGAGTCCATGCTGCTGAAAGAGTTGGCTACAAGRTACCAGCCAGCCCAAACAAGGCCTAGCCTCTCTACAGCCCAGATGACCGTGTGCTTCCAGTAAAGGGCAGCCCTAAAGGCAGCTATCAGGGGTAGCTATCAGGATGAGCGATCTGAACTCCTTAGTGAGGGCTTCTCTCATTAACAGTAATAGTCATCATGGCTAAACCTGGAGTGTGCACTGTATGTAGTGGGATGGCTATATGTATCTTAAAGGCTTGAGTGATGACTTCAAAGGCTGGACTAAAAATTTTGACAAAGAAGATCAGAAATGCAGTAATTCCTGTTTTAGGTACCCTTCCTTTCAAGAAGGCAGAAGTGAAAGTGAACAGGGGAAATGATTAAACCACAGATGACTTATTCCCTTTCTTCAGATCTCATTGCTGAAGGATGTCAAGTGGATTTAACAAAATAGAGTGCAAAAGTTTCTGGTGCCTTCTCACATTTTCTGAAATAATTTTAAAAACAACATCTTTATTGCTCTCCTATTCCTCTCTATCTCAAACCTGACCAAGCCTTCTGTGACATTGCCAGTTCCMGGCAGCTCCCAGGGTACTCCAAAACTTTGCCAGGAGTAGAGTTAGTCCCCTCAGCGATGGACCTCAGAAAAGAGCCAAGATCAGATATTTTCAATCCCAATTGCCCCTCTGGGTCTTGGCTTCCTGAATGCTGCATCTAAGGCCAGGACTGAARCAATACGTGATCCTCAGTGTCAGAAGTGATGTGGGAACACAAACACTTGTGTGTCCGGTGTGATTGCGATCTGCAGGGACTCAACAGTGCTTTTTTTTGTGCTTTTTGTTTTCCACAGAGCCAGGGGTTGGGCTGGGCATTGGTGCCTGTTGTCTCACGCTGGAAAATAGTTCTCCAGGGATATACATTCACAGCCTGGCCCCAGGATCCGTGGCTAAAATGGATGGCAGATTAAGGTTAGTTAAAGCAAAATCATGCTGGGGTAGTTTTACAATAAAATGGATTGAGATCTTGTTTTCACCAATCAGTCGATGTAGCAAGGAGGGAACTTACAAATGTTCACTAGAAATAAAATATTTAAATAAAGACATTCCAAAGTGGTGTTCAATACCAAAAAGACATTCCTCTGTGTCTTGGAAGCAGCATGATCATTAAGCTTTTTCTTTCTGTTCTCTACATGGAAAACTGAGCCTAATAGCACCCTTCAAGAAGGGGAAATGGGCAGAAATGCAGCATCATCAGTTTTGATCCGAGCTGCAGCCAGAGACCCCAAATTGGCAGGATGTTCACAGAGCTCTGCTCAAAGCTCAGGCACCTGAAACTCTCAAGAAGAGAGGGGGCAGTTTCTTGCAGTGCTCTGTGCCCATGGCTGCAGCAGAGCTTTTCTGCCCTTCCTGTCTGAGAGAAGCACAGCAGGTCCCCTGCCTGTCCCGGGCACTCCGCTGGGAATCCGGAATGGCTGCAAGGAACTGTAAGAGAAAGGGGAATCGCTCCCGGGATTCCCTTGTGCTTTACACTGCGTTAAGTGGCAGAGAGTTATTTTCTCTTCCTTTCCTGGTGTCCTCATTTTTGAAAAACCCTTGGAGGAAATTCTCCAAGGCCTTTCATTTTTCTGCATCCCTGCATAAGTGCTTGGGGAGGCTTGGAGAGAGGGAGGGCTGCGTTGAGTGCAGCAAGGCCGCATGCTCCACGTCAAGCTCTTGCCCAGAGCACCAGGGCTCTCAGCAGCTGCCCTCGCTGGCCCGGGGGCAGAGCTCTCTGTCCCCTGCTCGTGCAGTGGCCCTCAAGTGCTAGGGAAATTGCAATAGGGCAAGGTGAGTTTTGGAACAGGGGAACAAGCTGATTTTATGCTTGCATCCCTGCCCAAACTCTTCTAAGCTGCTCCCAAATAGGAGCATCCAGGGGAGAGAGTGCTTTAATACTGACTTGCTTTCCTGTAAACCCTTTTGAAAGAGTTTGCATTGCTGGCTGTATATAACAGCTGTATCGTTTATTAGGTTACGTGATTGATTATATCCAGGCATGCTTCCCAGTTTTCTAGCTTGCTTCTTTGAAACGTTGCTCCTGTTGTCCCACCAGTAGTTTATGGTTTGATAGGCCAAAATGAAGAGGATGGTTTTGATTTGGAAAGCCTCATTAATCAGATACAGGCTTTGGGAAACCAGGCAGGTTTGAACCCAGCTCCTCTGTATCTGGGCCCCTCCTTTCTATCCTGTGCTYGTCTAAGTGATTCTGTTTGCACAGTTTCCAATAGGAAGGATAGGCAGAGCAGTGCCATGGTTGCACAGCCCTTGATCACCCCTTGATATCTCCAGCCTGTACCACAACATGGGCAGCTGAAAGGCTCCACGTGTAATTGCCATTTTGCCCTTGGCRTGGGGACTTAGTTTGATTTCGTTTGCATTGTCAGAGCTAATCCAGCATAAATCAGCAGTAGTGGATTGTTTGAAAATGTCTATTTAAAGCAAATGTTTTAGTAATTACAGAGAATGCTTTAATGATATCCCTGTCTGATAATCTTTTCCTTTGAATAGTTCCAGATGTCTGAGCACCAATGATCAAGACCTAAAAAAATTGGAAAAAACAAAGCGATACAATTTATCCTTCCCTCTCAGACAAGTCTTTTCCTAAACGTGTTCCCTATTTTATTCTGAAGTAAATAGAAGCTTATCTCGCCCAATGTTTTTTCTAGAGTCATTTCATGAATTCGTATCTAAATTGTGAACTTCTCACTGGTGTCTGCATTAAGTAGTTCAGTATGATGGCAAGGAACAGCCCATCCAAGTCTTTTCTTTTTTTTTTCTGGTGCTCARCAAGTATCAGGATACAGAATTGGAAATGAAGTTTACTTTCATTGAACACAGCCAAATTTTTCTGTTGGATTTATAGCATGGACAGTAAGTGCAGAAAGGGACCCTGGACCTCCCGCCTTAAGTTCAACAGGSCTCACACTGGCCCTGTCACTGGGAGCAATAGCTCCACTGGTGTCTTTGCAAGCCAGCTCTCCAGATACTTGTATCCTTGAAAAAGCTTGGCTAGCAGTCAAGAGCACAAGTGTTTCTGGATAGGGCAGTGTCATTAACTATTTGTGTGATTAACTAGCTATATTTGTGTGATTAACTAGCTGTGTGATTACCGGGCCGTGGGATTACCGGGCTGTGTTTCTGCCTGCAGCCGCGGGGATCAGATCCTGGAGGCGGACTCGGTGAGCCTGCGCCACGCGGCGCTGAGCGAAGCCTACGCCATCCTGAGCGAGTGCGGCCCGGGGCCCGTCAGCCTCATCATTAGTCGCCATCCTAACCCGAAGGTGAGGAGGACACACRTCCAGGTCCCTGCGTGGGCTTTGCATCTCCTCTCATAGTCTGCAACTTGCTGTCCAAAAAGCAGCAAGTGAAGAATTTGAGAGTTTTGTCTCCATGACTCCAAAAGTCAGGCTAAAGGATTGTAGTGATGCCTTCCAGTTCGTAAGTTGCAGCAGTGTTAGAGCTTCCTTGCTGCTTTTCACTTAGTCACTCAATGATCAAATGCAATTTTCCTGGAATGGCTTGGGTGAAGTGTTCCCGTCATTCCTCATACTTGGGCCAAGCGGCAATGCAAATACTGCRTATGGCCTCTTCCTGCTTAAATCTATGTTGTAGTTAGTCTGTTTCAGTACAATATAATTTGGGCCAGATATAAACATCAACAGATTGAACTGATCAACTGTAGTAAAGTAATACGAATATTGTTTTTAAAAAAGTAAGATCTGGAATGTGCTGCTACTGAGAAATCTGTACAAGGCAATTCAAAAATAAGAAATAAGCCTGTGTTTACAAAGTGAGTGATCACGTTCAAATATTTTTTCTAATGGTGATAGAAGATCAAACCCATTTAACCAATCTGTAGGGAATAATAACTTCTTTTATTTCAATATTTCAAAGAATTTTGTGAGTGTACAAAGCCTTCCTGTTTAAACAGGAATGAAGCTGTAAAAATATTTGCATTTGGGAGTCCGGAGAGCTCTGACTTTTGAACTCCTGACTACAAATAGAAGCCTTTAGAAGAAACCAGAGTTCTAGATGTGGATTTATTTTATATTTCATTGTGTATTTGCCGCTAAATCAAATATACAACAATAGGCTTATTGGTGCCTGCTGATGCCCAGACTTTGCTATCAGTGCTATGAAGTTTTATGATTCAAAAAAAAGGAGGCCTTGGCTCTGTTGGTTGACGGTCTGAGCATGGAAGGGGTAAGAGTTGGGTTTGTGGCCAATGCAGTTGGTTGCCCTGGCAAAGCGGATGCAGGGAGCGGGATTTGGATGGGGAGATCACACATGGGTGGAACGGGCTGCACCTCCACCCCACACCTCCAACTCCCCCATCGTGCTGCCCTCTGCCCCAGGCCTCGCTTGGTGCTCAGGACACCGGCTGCACCAAGGCTGGTGCAGCGGTCCCAGAGCACATGCTGCGGGAATGTGCTTGATCCCTGTCCTTGGAGGAGGCTGGAGTGCCCCAGGAGCCGTCAGACTCCGCGTTTCCTGTAAGGTCATGCCGCAAGCGGAAAACAGGGAGAGCTTTCTACAGATTTCTGTGTTGTTTTAGACATTTTTATGCTTAATCTCCTATTTCATGACCCAAAAGGTTCACGGTACGTTCTAGTGCTGAATATATTCAATTAGGTATTTTCATGTGCTTCCAAGAGAAATACCACAACATTTTCTTTCTTCTTGTTATTCTGAGTGAATGTGACATTTAAACTATGCTGAAACTGCTGAGTTTGCTTAGAAATCTTTCAAATCTTCATGGTTCAGAAAGATTCAAGTTTCTCATCTCTCTTTGTGCTGAATTTTAATTAGCGTAAAGCAATGTATATAGAAATTACTTTAGACAGAATTACCTTGCTTTCTGTTTTTAAATACACCCTCCTGCAGACTAACTGTTTGCCTTCTGAAATTGTGTGGAGTTTTCTAGTAATAAGTATTAAGTAAGTGCACTGCAGTAATTTAGGACATAATTAGCATATTTTGAGTATTGTGGACCGGTATTTATTCTTAACTCGGAGAAAACATTAAGTATAGACTGCTGATTTAGTTTTCTTAAGTGAGGAGAAATGAAAATTAAAAAGGCAGCTAATATCTCAGGAAGTCTGGCTTTCTTCCGTAGGCCCTTTAAGTGCTCACGTCTTCTGTTGCTGACGTAGGCTTGTTCAAAGCAGCCTTTGTCTATTTTAATGTAATATTTCTCAGTAAATCACTGCATGGTGTTTAATCAGGTTACAAGGGTGCCATAATGGCCTCATTTGATTTCTTCAGGCCTGGTGCGGGTTTATTTGCTTACGTAACGCGGCACTCGGMTGTCGGCTTCGTGGATTCAGCTGGTTTCTGCTTCCCGTTTCTGCAGAGGAACAGCATGGAGCAGGGCTGAGGCAGAGGCCAGAACGTAGGAGCACTCGACTAGCTCCTCTTTGATGAGGTTTAGGAGCATGTCTGAAATGAATCACCTAGTGATGAGTGGTCCGATTCTCATCTTCACTCCTACTACCCAGTATTGATCTCGTGTCTTCTCCTGAACCCCAGGTTTCTGAGCAGGAGATGGATGAAGCAATAGCACGTACTACTCATCGAGAGAGCAAGGACACCAGCTGCTCTCACACCACAGGTAACAGCGGGTTCTCTCCTAACATTTGTCCTTTTCCAGATGTGCGAAGGTTTAAGGACCTGTTTGTGGGTTTCTCACTATGAGTTTTTTAAGGGCCTTCAAATTGAGACGTTTGGCGGATGTAATCGCTCTGCTCTCTGCAAAACTTTCAACACAAGTGTTCTGTTCCACACAGATCAGCGCTGTAGCTYGGCTCATTGGCTTTGGATTTCTCTAGGCAGACTGCTATGAGCTGAAAAGTGAGGTGCCTAGAGGAGGTTGCTCTGTCTTCTTTTTGGGATTTCATTGAAGGAGAATGTCCTGCTAGGAGAAGGGCAGGAGGAGTCAACTGCAGCTGTCATGGGCATTTCTCCTTATAAATGACCAAGAAAATGAAAGAACTGGGGTATCCATTTGAAGAAGCCCAGCTGTGACATACTGGCCTTCATCATGGAGGCCATGTCAAAATGCTGTGCTCTGGCATATGCCTGATAATTTTGAACCTCAGCCTTAGCATTTCCTGAAATCTTACAGATCAAAGCAATTCTTTGTAAGGACAGAATGACCTGTTAGGTGATTTTAAAGATTTTTGGATATTAGGTATGTAATTGTCCTTTATATATCAGTGACAGGTAGGCTCTTTATGCAGTGTACCTTGCCCTTGGCCACTAATGTGTCTTCTGCAGTTGTACCTCATCAGTAACATGCTCCAGTGGGTGAGGGGGACTCTTCTTCTTGTCTCCTCTTTGTAGCTGTGTCCTGTGCTTGACTGGTGCAATGGGTGTCTGCGATAAYGTTTTGCCTGATCGGAGAAAAAGGTTGTGAAATGTAAAATAAATCTCACTTTATCTTAGCAATTCAGATAATAGGTGGTAATAAGCGCAGCCCCCAGGTCACACGGTGAATAAGGAGCTTGTCTGGRTATGTGGACAACTGCTATAACTCTGGCCTCTAAATGCACTGTTTAATAGGAGCTGCACAGAAGAGCCCCTCGCCTAGTGCCAAAGGCAAGCAAGGAGAGACCTCATCTGCCCTCAGCTGGACTATGAAGCGCTTTCTGGAGCCATCAAGCCGGGTAAAAGACTTAAATGCAATAAAAAGAGCTTTTCTTCAAACTCAGCTCTTACCCRAGGATTAAACATGATTCAAAACCAAAACTCTGTGCTGCATCCTTGTCACGGGTGTTCCATAAAGGGGGYTGATTCTTAAGCCTCACAATTGAGTCATGATGGCAGGGCAGAATTGAGGCAGGAGATGACAGCAGAGACCAAAGGTGGCAGAAGAGACCAAGCCCTGAAGGCAGGTTGAGTGTTTGGTCTCTGTCCATAGCCATTGCAGGGGAAACATCTCTGTTCTCCTGCAAAAGCCAAAGATACTGTACGAGATGTGTCCACAAGCAGAGATTCTTCTCTCAAGGAATAAGATATGCAAAGAGAATTAGCAAAGTGAATGGTTTCATCCCTTGCTTCTAGAGGAATTTGGGGGAAAAACATATATTATCTGAAAGTATTGATGTGCTGCATTTCAGCRATTTGCTTTTTACACTTCGGCCCTCGGTGCATCATCAATTCCTCTGTTTTTAAAATAGTTGTTAAACGTAGTTCTTCGACCAGGGTGGTGTGAGCAGGGCCGTTAGTGCGGGGGGCAGAGAGGGGTCTCTCCTTGCGCAGCAATGACCGTCTCCCTTTCAGCAGGGCTCCGTGAGCTCCGAGGCAGAGCTTTCCCAGTACTTCCCGCACGACGGCCCCAGCCAGCTGCCCTTCTCCGAGGCTGTCGCCGGCTCCTGCGACGAGGAGCAGCCCCGCCAGAAGAACAGGAACAGTCTGTTGGATGACGGCTCCATCCCTGCCGGTAACTGGAGAAAGCGACGGGAATCTGGCYGGCCGCTGGTTTCTCTGGGGTGGGGATGGACACTGAGCTCTGGGCTGCTCTGTCAACGAGACCCAGTGACTCTGTTACGGGTAGGACAATATCTGCCCACGCGGCACAGACCAGCGCTGYCCATAGGAGGTTTGGGAAAATGGGCAGCATTGACAGCAGGGCACGTAAATGCCCCTTTCCATGGTGGTTTGTCCAAATTGCTGCTCTGATGACRCGAGTACAACTTTTTTTGGTTGCAGTGGCTATAATTAAATCGACAGTGTTACAGGCTGTCGTGGATAGCTGGTGATCATCTGATTGATTATGTTTAAGTACACRTGTTCACAGCAGCCTCAAATACACAGCTTGGCACTGCCACATGCAGCGATGCAAAAACAACCCGGTGTTGAATATGGCATCAAATATTTTGCATGTGTTGTGTCTTCCTTTCTACAGCACTTGACTGAATGAATCTTATATTTTCCTTATTAACAGGCACTTGATTTCAGATTTAAAGGGTGTTATATTGTTATATTTTTTCTCCCTTCTCTGCATTTCTCAAGTAAAGTCTCTGTCTGACACAAACTTTTCTCTCAAAATTCATTATTCGATGCTGAAAAAGCATTTTTATTTAAAAAACTTTTTAGAAAATAATCTGCAGTCCTTTTGATGAAGGTGGTGATAAGGGTTCTTAGACTAATTAGTCTTTAATTTTAAACCAATTATTGTGTGCTTGTGTTTTTGTTCATGAGAGCATTTCGCCCTCTAAGTCGATTCAGATAGTCCTGTGCATGCATGTAAAGATTTGAAAGAAATTCAGCTGTTTGAAGTAATATACACATGTGTACGTGCATCCCTTTCTTCTTTGGGTCATAGTCATAATTTAGAAAYGGTCTGAAAACAAAACCAGATGTGCCATGAGCTGATTTCAGGAAGCCCCCATAAATTGTGGAACCGTCTGTCATCTCTCTTGCTCTGTGCTGTAGTTATAACCCAGAGGGAGGACATGAAAAACCTGCTTTGGGCTTTGCTTTGTGTGTGGGGGGGTAAGGCTTCTTCTGCAAACAAAGCAACATGTCCTCTGTTGCGGAGGGGTGCGTGGTATGAAAAACCACAAATAAATGCGATTAACATGTAATGCTTTTGTTTTTGTAGCTGCTAGAGAAGCAGGAGTGGCAAGAGCAAACGGGCCGGCCTCCCCGAGCAGCGGGAGGGCGCCTGGCGTTCACAGCAAGCACGGGGAGTGCGGCCGGCCCGGCATCCTCAGCGACAGCCCCAAGTCTGCCCGCAGCCCCTTCCACCGGCAGCGAAGGGTCGTTTTCTACGACGGCGACGTCAGCGACGACGACGAAAGCTCCCACTTGCAACGAAGCCAGAGGGCCAAAAGCCAGGAGGACGCTGGCCTTGTCATTACAACCTCGTCCGTAGAAATCGATGATGACAGCCAGGATGGTGAATCACACAGATACAGCGGCAGGGAGACCTCTTCCCCCCAGGGCAGTCACTCCGCAGGGGCCGCTGACGGCGCAGTGGAGCCAGTCGACTCTCCTTTCTTCCCCATCATAGCGTTCGACTACTCGAGTGTGCCCGAAGTTCGTCTCGGCAGCCTGAGTTTGCGGGAGCTCCGGGAAGCGCAGCTCGAGTCTAAGCGATCCCCAAAACTGGAGCACCGGGCGGTCACGAGAGTGAAGAGCATGATGAGCACGGAGTGCCGCAGCCTGCAGAGGCACAGGGCGGAGGAGCACGGCTCCTACAGCAAACCCGTAGCGAGGACGCTGCCTCACAGCAAGAAGACCGAGGCGCCCGACAGCGCGGGGCAGGGCCAGGGGGAAACAGTCACTCTGGTTCGCAATGAGCACGAGTCTTTCGGCCTGGATCTGGAAATCCAGGCCATGCCCTTGAAGGTGGTCGTCACAGGGCTGCGACCGGGCGGCGCGGCGGAAAGGGTAACTCGGGAACGGCTCCCTTTGCCTCACTTTGCTGTTGCCTTGCACAGAGTGTTATTGCTAAGCGGGTGATCCGTGAGACTAAGTGCAAAGGAGATTCCGTTGCCCAGCGGAGTTTGTCTCCTCCAGAGCAAGGTGTCACCCCCTAATCATTCCCAAACTAGTGCTAGAGGAAGTGTTTTCCATTCAGAAGTGCACCCTTGCTGATTGAAAACTGGGAAGTCAGGAGCCCCATATATTAGTATAGATTCACACATATTAAGAGTTACAGTTTAGGGGGGGGTTCTACTCTTTTATTTTCTAACTTTGTTCTAAAAAAAAAAAAARAAARAAAGAAAAAGTAGAAATACTCCTTAGGAGACAAGCTGTGTTKCAATATAGCATGCGTGTACTTTAAATCCTGCTTCGTTATTTCATCTGTGTGTATTCCTGTATTCTACAAACCTCATGCTGGGTGACCCAGCAGYGTCCTGGGTTGGCCTGGGTGCTGGGAGGATGTGGCTCTTCTGCCTCTCTTGCACTGCACGTTATTGCAGTGTGGATTCTTGCTTCGTGCTCACCTTGCCCCCTCTGTGCGGATTTGGATATTCTGGAGCACAAAGGTGGATGCAGCATTTGTACCTCACTTACAGGGGAACGGAGGGGATARTCTGGATAGGGCTGTGAGAGTTGGGGTGGTAGGTGCTGTTTTTGCCCCTTCTTCAGATTTGCTCAGTGATATTGAGAAATAGATTTAGCTTAGTGCCTAAGAGCTCAGTTCCTGTCAGTTTTATAGTCATTTGTGAGAGTCCGGTTGGCCCAGCAGGAGATAAGGATCAGCAGTGTCATTCATATGTGAAATGCAAAAATGGTAGGTGCTGCTGCAACAAGGAATCCCAAAGAAACTATGTCCAAACYAGCCAAATTCCTTTAAATGAAGGGAACTGTGTTCTCTTTGCCCACATCGGTCTCTTTGGAAACCCAGCATCTCTTTTGACTTTCCAGTCTGAGTGTGATCATGAATTTCTCTGCTGTCAAAGCAGTCAGCTCTTTACTTATGTGCTGGCAAACCCAGCAGCAGAACCTGTGCCCTGCAGTGATGTGAAGTAGGGGATGTCACTCCTACACCATTAACCACTTCCCTGCACGCTTTGCTCTGATGGGAATGTTTCTGAGATGTACTTACAGTTTCCCTGTATTTGTCATTGCACCAGGGATCAATGGGCAAGATGGTTGTGGGAGATGAGATTACCACGATCAACAGTATCCCCGTCAATAAGATGACTTACGAGGAAATCTGCTTGCTCATGCAGTGTCTTCCCACGTCTGTAACCCTGGAGATCCAAAAACCAGCCCCAGGTGAGAGCAAGTTTGCTTTCATACCATGTATTTTGAGTACCTGAGTACTCAAAGTATTTGGAGTGTCTGTGTTGGTGAGTCAGGCCGAGTGGCTCATCGCTGAACCAGGCCTCAGGCTTTCCATCCCTAGCACCATGGTGAGGGATGGAAACCTAATCCTGTGTTAAGTGCTCAAAGCTCCCATTTATAGCACATCCTGCTGCCAGCGTGTGCAGAGCTCTGAGTCACCTCAGGCAGCCCTGGAGCTAACTCTGCAGCAGGGATGCCCTGGCTGCCGCTGAGCTCTRGTGCTGTTCTTGTTCCGTAAATGTTTTGACCCTTTATAATCACATCTGTCTCTTTCAAAAGCTGAAGCCTAAGCTGTGTTTTTATGAACATACAATAGCTAATAAAATCCTTCTTTTTCTCTTCCTTTCCTGAGTGAAAATTGTCTAATGTGCAAAAAGGGGAAGCAGAAAATCTGAGATAAGAACTGGAATCTTATCAAGATGTTTTCATGTTTCATATATTAAAAAAGAAATCTAGTTTAAATTGGAACGTTGGTGTCTTTCATTTCTCRCTGAGGTTGATCTTTGCTGCTACAGCAATATTATTTGTATCCACAGACTGCACAAATTATGTGGTGTGAAATGAGCGTTTGAAAAAGACAGCATGCTTTTCAAATTCAGAAAGAACATAATATTCTGCTTCCTTCTAGCTTATGGTCTTCTTTGTGCACCTATTAATACCTGGTAGCCAAAATTGCTTCCAGATGCATCAATTCCAGATGCTCTTTAAGGAATTGCTGTTCCCATTTCCTTAGATTTCTGTGGCTTTTTCAGGCTTCTAGTGCTGGGGTGGGTGCAGGTGGGCAGCACTTTGTCGGGCACCTTTCCTGCTGTCTCCTCTCCCTTTGGCAGAGACGAGGGGTCCCCTCAACGTGTGATTCAGCCTGCTGAAGCACATGGTGCTTCAGGGACTAGCTGGGTTGAGTGTGCCAGGAGTGCTCTAGAAAGGTGCAAGCAGATGCTTGGGGTGAACTGGTGGGAAGCCAAGAGCTGGAGAAAAGAGCAAGTCAGAATGTGTTTGAGTGCAGTGGTGACAGGCAGGTCAGTAGGTTGACTAGACTTGGCTTAAACGTGTTCTGCAAGTGAGGAGAGCTCTGTGCCAGAAGTCCTGTAAAGYCCTCGTGCTTAATGCACAGCCCTTACCCGGGCATTACATCACCCATGTGTGTCACATTAAACACCTGCAGAAGTGCCTGGGGGGTCAGAGTCGAGGTATTTATGCACAGCTCCTCACTCCATATCTGCTCACCTCTGGTTGCTCTGCCAAGGCTTTGAGTCCTCTGTGCAGGCATCTTTGATGAAAAAACTTACGGGAAATGATACTGCCCAGCCTGACTTTGCTGTATATTAGTACTTTGGTAGCTGGCTGCTTGGCTGTTCAGATTTCGAAGATGAAAGTTAAACAGATTGTGACTACCTAACCAAAATAGATTGCTCCCTCCTGGGTGCCACTCGGATACACAGGGTTAGGATTAATTGGAGTTGTTGTAAACATAATTACAGAAGAGGAGGAGTGCAGGGCAAAAGGAAAACATCAAGGCTGAGTGTGTGGGTGTCTGTTTTTTTAATAAAACATGGTGTTAGGATTTTATATCTTTTTTTTTTTTTTTTTTTTTTTTTTTTTTCTTTCTCAGCCTTGATGCAGCTGCTAGCAGATTTTCAAACTTTATCCTGATTCCCGGGCTAGATGGACCAAACCAGCCCGACCTCAGCAACCTCCTTGTGACTGAAGAAAAGAGCTGCGGGAAGCAGGAAGGAACCACTTGGCAGAGCGACGGTCCAGGCTGCGGCGCGGAGAGGCCGACACCGCCACCGCACGCCGGGAGCAACGAGGTGCAGAGCAGCCGCGCCGGGGACAGCGCCGCGGTCCCCGTCACCCACATCGACGACTTGCTGGGCCACATGAGCACCCCGGAGGGCAGGGGATCACGGACCCCGTCGCGAGCAGAAAGTCCCCTCCGGGAGGAGTACACCACGCTGTGCTGCTGCGGCACGGAGGAAGGCTGTCCCGGCAATGAGCCACGGCCAGCGAAGCAGGAGCAGCTGGAAAAAAATATGAACTGTGCACCTAATGCACAGGGGGTTTTGGAGTTGTCTGCGTTAGATTCCATTAACCCCGGCAGGCTTTTTACTGTGAATAAAAACTCTTTAACTAACTATTCTAGGAATTTCAGCAGTCGGACTGAGGATGAGTTGCCTGCAGCGAACGCTCCGGAAGGTAACAGATGTGACCCCTTTCCAAAGTCTATGTACGGGGCCGCAGAGGATTCTCACTCAGATGCAGAGTCTGTCACGGAAACCTTGGATACTGCTGGTGACGTGTTGCTCCTGCCCTGTGCTGCTGCCCATGGCTCTGTGGGTTGTGCTGTAACAGAGTCGGATGAGGAGCAAATTGAGATTTGTTGCGCGAATAATGAGCTGCACAAGCCTGCTCGGGAGCAGCAGCTCCCATCCGCGACAAACTTATCCCCTCTGTGCCCCACAGAGCCTCACAACAGCGACATTTTGAGGACCGAGGACTACACGATGCGCGGGTCGCTGGAGATGGGCATAAACAAACTAGACCTGAAAGGTCGGAGTGGTCCCACTCCATGTTCCTCACAGTGTTTAGGTGTCTCCTCTGCATCCCTCTGTTCTCCTTCCTCAGTTTACCTGCCAGATAAAGACACTCTAGAAAATTCAGGAGGTAACCCTGAAGTTTACTCTTTCCATAACAATTGTGCCTTAAGTGCAGAAGAACAGATGGGCTCGGGGAGCAGTGACGGACATAGGAAATGCTGTGAATCCGTTGAAGAGGAAGGGTCTTCACACTGCAAAAATAGAAACTCTTGCTCTGCTGGAAGTGTCRGTGGCCTGGAGAGCAACTCGTTGGAGAAGGAAGGATGTTCTGATGAGCAGAGATCCAAATTTGAAAGTGAAACGGTGGTTGAGGACTGCAATCACACCATTAGTTATTGCTTAGCAAAGAAAGAAAATAACAGTTCGTCCGGCTCATGTAAAACRGACAATGGCAATAATGGCATCACGTCATCACAAAGAGCAATATCACTCAGGTCTCCCTTTCCCACTAGGTCTAAAGACCCAAAGGCGAATGTAAACCATGATTTGCCAGGGAAAAATGAGAAAATTAATTCTGTGGCTTCAGGGAGGAGCTCAAATGCAAAAGTCCAACACTCAGGCACAAATCACTGCAAAGGAGCTGCAGTACCGCACAGCCCATCCTCACAGAAGAAATCCTGTCAGGACTCTAAGGCACAAACASCACAAAAAACTATCATGGAAACGCTTTTAAATAACCAGAAGGCCAAAGGAGGACCGAAGCTGAAGGGGTTCACTATCAAAAGCAAAACAAAGACAAATTCAGACTCTTCTGGGATGAATCCTACCAAAGTCAATGGGACCGATCAGAAAAGACCTTCTGTTTCTCCGCAGTTGTCCCCCAAGCTCCTCGGTAAGAAAGCACCGTCGGTCCGTAACTTACCTGCAAACACAGATCCTGGCAAGAGTGTTTCGGCAGTCTCAAGGACTCTGAGGCCAGAGCTGGAAAATAAGCCATCTTTGGTCATTTCTGAAGAGTCACTGCTGCCCCTCTTGAATGGCACAAGCAGCCCAGTAGAGAGCAGCRAAATTAAATGTGGTGGCTGTGGGGAGCTAGCGGATCAGCAGCAGGCATGGGGAATGCAGAAAGAAAAGCAGGCTTCCACGCAGCCCCAGGTGGGTCAGGATAAGGGCCCTAAGACGGATGATTTCAGGTCCAGGGACAATCAGCCCAAAGCTGCTTCATCCCCCAAGGGGATTCCAAAAGTTGAATATGTCAAAGGGAGAAATGAGAACCCCGGAACAGGCCTAAACTCCACCAGGAGCGTCAGTAATGAYGACCTTAAGCAATTAGATCTGCAGAACTTAGGGACATCTGCAAGAAGCTCCTTTTCATTGAGGTCTCCCCCAGTTCAGCAGGAGCAGCTGGAAGGACAGGAGATTCAACGCACTTTCATCGAGGTGAGGCTGTCCTCTTCCTCCTCGTCTTCCTCGTCTTCCTCCTCTGCTTCTTCCTCACCAGCTCCATTTCTGCAGCTGCCATTGATGGAGAAAACAGAAGAGGCAAACACAGAAGTGCCTCAATTGACTGAGGWGATGAAGGCCACGCAATATTTTTCTAAAGTGGATGTCATGGGAGACAGAAGTMTCTATGGCTTGTCGAAACCTGTGACAAGGACTTACTCGATGCCAGCCCAGTTATCAGGTCACTTGAGAGAGGGTTGCCACGCGGCAGACATTTCAGCTCACACTGTGCAAGGCCCTCAGACCCACGGTGCAGATGAGAAATCCCCCCATTCGGAGATGGAAATGTTAAAGATGGCCCATCTCAATCTTCTGAATGGGAAGGAGCAGGGGTATCCTGCCAAAAATGCCCAAAAGGTGCCTGGGGACTCCCCCTTAGCTGGTGACATTAGCTATCCTGCCACTGATAAGCTAAGAAATTTCAGGAGAAATTACTACTATTATGAACTGAATTGGCCACATGAACCTACCTCATCCTTCTCAGTGAAGCAGCGGATCAAATCCTTTGAAAATCTGGCAAGTTTTGATAGGCCTGTTGTGAAAGCTATAGATATTCACTCAGCGTCTAAGACCCCCCTTGGCAGAAGATGGTGCAGCGGGATGGGCGCTGCAGGTGCAGCCAGCCCCACCGAGGCCTCACGGGCCCTGCGACGCAGCTTGAGCTCCTACGGCAGCAGCCTGAGCCAGGAGGCCTCTCCCGCGGCGCCGTCGCCGCCGATGGCATCATCCRCGAGCGCAGACCTGGCGCCCACAGMGAGGAATCCCCGCGAGGGCGGCAGCGGGGAAGGGAAATGGGGCAAGGAAAGGGCTTTGGGAGAGGCGCCCGCCACGGCGCCGCAGGGCCGGCGCAGCCGCGGTCACGGGCGGCAGCCGCTGTCGCGCTCCAAGCTGCGGGAGCTGCGAGCCCTCAGCATGCCCGAGCTGGACAAGCTGTGCAGCGACGGCTTCGCCGCCGACCCGCAGGCCGCCTATTTCAAAACAGAGCTGGAAATCACGCCCAGGAGGGCGCTCGGGATGCCCGCCGAGAGCGACGCCAGCCCGAGCGCGGCCTCTGCCCTCTCCAGCCTCACGGGYGCCACCAGAGCGAGCTCGAAGGGGAGTAGCCCTTGGAACAGCAGCTCAGGAACGCCGGGCTCGGCGTCGGAGGATGACGCCACGTGTGACAGCTCTCCGGATGCAAAGTGCTCGGAAGAGAGCTGGTCAGTCAGGTTAGTGTCAGGTCTTTCTGTTCCTACTTTCCGTTAACAAAAGAGCCCTCCGAAATCTTTCTTCATCATCCCTGCAAGGCTCTTCTGAGGCAAAACTTTCCAGTTGCTCAGGCCTTGCTCCAAAACACATTTCAGTGGAAAGGCTTCAACCCAAGTTCCTATTGAACTAAAATCTTGGATGTAGCTTTTAGTGCTCTTTGTCTTTCAAAGCTGTTGCCTGCTGTCGGCTGCACTCCAGTATGGGGTGAAGTATGTGATGCCGGCAGGGTCAAGCTCTTTTCCCGTGTCCCTCCTYATTGTTCTTAGTCTGGTTTTTGGTTATGTAGCAGTAGTAAACACTGTCTCCTGCCCTCCTCAACGGGGGCGATTGCCCAGCATGTGCTCTCAGTGCAGCCTGCGATGACAGATGAGCTTGTCCTGCCAGAAACAGCCCTCAGAAGTAGTTGTCGCTTTGTTGTTGTCAATGTCTCTTGGTAAAATCATTGGGAAGGGAGCGGGTAACAGAACAGGGACTGATTCTCAGGATTACTTCTGAATTGTCTTTTTGTTCTCTTTCCCATTCCCCTACCCCAACATACACCATTTGTTACCCATTTTCAAGATTTATGCTTGCTAATGACCTGGCACTCCATGGCTTATTCTAATGCTTATTATACTGCGTACTTGAAAGATATCTCTGCATAGTTTAGAAATATAAAGCCGTCGTTTATATTTTTCCTATTTATTTTAGCTTGGATCAGCTGCTAGTCTCAAGCCTGGACCAGCAAAAGTTACAGTCTGTTTTGTCATCGCTAATACCAAAATGTGACGTTRCCACGATGCTTCAAGAAGTCAAAGCACAAGTAAAGGTAATACCCAGAAGATGAAACTAAATTATGCGCAATAATTTTACCTTTTATTTTTTAACAACAGATGAACCTTCTCAAGACAATTTCAGAGCTCCTCCAATGTTCCCTTGAGAGGTGGTTTTTCATCTGCTGTTTCTGCAGCACCTGTCATAAACCCATGGTGTATTTGAATRGCTTTTTTATACAAAAATAGTGTTCATCCAGTGCAAAAGCTTTTATGAGYCATGATAAATAAGCCAGTTTTAAGTRGAGAAATATGTCTCCATTTCAGTCRTTATTGCAGCTGARAAACTCTCAGACTGGCCAGTAACTGCACATCAGATCTTAACTTTCCACCAACCATCTGGYTCAGCYCCACTCTCCTTGTGAGCAGGGGAACTTTTGCTCCTCTTTCCRTAGCAGTAAAGTGACAAAAATTGAATTAATCATCCTTAATGCTGAGCTGGTGGCTGGCAGCGCCAGGAAAYGTGGCTACTGGGGGACTTGGAAGAGACTCCTGTGGTCTCCTTGCTCTGTCCTGTAGGAAGAAATCACGTGCCTGTCAAGGCAGCCTGTTTCATTAGCTAGGTGTTTAAAGAAGGCCTCCCAGTGAAGTGATTGCTGCTTCCCTCTCAGCCCTGMTTGTGTTTGTGTGTTTGGGACGTATCCACATTCTTTTTAAATCCAGAGTGAAGTTGATACAATAATGATGGCACTGGAAGGGAGCCTGGCATCTGGTCTGCAGAACCACTGGATGAGGTGCATGTTCCTGAACCTTCATCACAGAGACTGCATTTTCAGATGTAAAATAAGCTGAGGGGAGTAAGACCTCCCCAAGCTGCTCAGCTTTGCCTCCTTCCTACCTAAACCCTGCGAGTCCCAAGAGCTTGGTGAGCCAGGTGCTTGGGTCATCTCACCCAAAATTTTAGGATTGGGTTTTATTCCTCGCCAAAAGTCATTAAGTGTTCTTTAAAGTATTGTGCATGGGATCTTGGAGAGATTATTTATTCATGCCAATTTCTCAAACCTAAGAACTCAGATATTTATAAAAATGAATACTTTGGAATGCACTTCTTGTCTGCATAGTTTCTCTATCCACATTTAAGCCCTGTATGGCACATGCACTGGAAAACTTTATGTTAGTCACAGGCTGGCTTTAAATCTACAATAGGAGAGTTCTTCAGAATTACACAACTGCTGAAAAATGAGATAGATGTCTGTGCTTGATTCGGATTGAGAGCTTCCCCTGGGAAGAGCCTGTCATCATCTTCTGATATGAACACTGCTGAATTTATTGCTAGCATTCAATAAGTGCTAGTAATAGAAAAAAATAAAAATACTTTTTATTGATTAGACCTCTGTGATTGATGGTCTTTGGCTGACAGGCAAAAGAGAGATGCGAGAGATTTCAGTACTTTCCTGTTATGTTGCTCATTTCTTCTGTAACTCTGGGCAGTTGATGAGACAGAGATTTAGGCACAGCAGCTTGCAGGGCACTTCAAGGAGTTCCGCTGCACTGAGCTGCCTCGCGGAGCTGTTAGGCACTTGCGTGTCCTCATTCCTCGCAGAGCCCAGCAGATGGTTGGGATTTCTGCAGGCCTCGCACGGCCACGGTGTGACTGATCCAAGTCAAAGGGTGCTTATTGACGCAGCCCCAGGCAGGACCCCTATCACATATGGCTGGTGAGGACAGAACCTGGCAGCTGGGAAGTCAGGAGATGTTTGTCCTAGGGGTAGGAAGCTCGTGTTTGGATTGTGTTGGTGACTGGCCCTGTATACAGTATCCTCGTGTAGCCCTCCAAAACCAGAGGCCTCTAATGACTTGTTTACCACTCTAAGCAAATTATGTCCTGATATCAAGAGGGTGAAAGTGTTGGGAAGAGCGTGACTTCCTCAGCCAAAAAGGGCTGTGTCAGTAGTGACCTGTCAAAGATGCTAGGATGACTGTCACACTTAGCACACATCGTTGAAGGGGTCTAAAGGAGATATTTATCTGAATTTACTATTTCTAACCTAACATAAGGCAGTTCACCCTTCAGTACAGGTAGAAAGGTCTTGGCAGCTACRAATGACTGTGGTCTAAAATGTTCAGCCCTGACTGCCCTCCTGTCCCCTCCAGGGGCCCTCCTGTCCCCAAGTGCTGATGCATCCTTGGATCCGAGCAGGGCCRCACTGATTTCTGATGTTGGCTCTGTGCTATGCAGGGATGCCTTGAACACAGGAAAATCCTCTGGGGCCACTGCTTGGCAGAAACCTGCCCAGGGAGGCCAAGAATCTGGCTATAATGCTGAGGAATATTAGCAAGCCGTGGTTCTCATGTGTTTTGCAATGAAACAGAAAGGCAAACTGTGAGTTAAATGCATCAAGTTTAGTGAACTAAATATGTCATTTAATGATAAATAGATTAAAAGGTTCATTCCTAGTGATGTGTCATTAATTTCAGTGTCGGCACTTTCTGGAAATGATTGATGTTGGATGGGATCCCGGGGAAGAGCTGAGTCCTGCTTCCTGCTCACAGCTTCTGATGCTCTGCCACACATTTGTTGCTAGACCCTTGTTCCACCACGTGACTGCTGTTAGGGCCACTTACACCACARAATGTGGCATCTGTAGCAGTGTCTGGTTTTGCCCTAGTCACTGTTCAGGTGGCACCAGAGTTCAGGACAGGACTGCTCTTCTCRTAGCAAATTATGTATGTTGGCAGCAGCCCATCACTTCAAACAAGTYAGCTTTGCACCTTTTAAGATTGTCTGGTGCTTATGGGAAGAGCTTGATSCTGTTGTCTTTGTAAGGGCGGAAGAGAAAGGGATAACACGAGTGTCAGTAATTCCCTGTGGTGTGCAGTGCTTGGGTGTRAAGGGTGCAGCAGGGCTGTGCGAGGTCTCTAGAGCAAGTGGCACCAGGAAATGAGACATGTGACAATCTCTGGGATGTCCCTTGGGGTTGGGACCCGTCGGTCTGAGTAGATCCCCCTGGAGCAGCAAGCAGGGCGCTGCTTTCCCCAGAGCAAGGGGCTGCCTTCGGAGCATGAGGGAGAAGTGCAGCTTTCTGCTGCTTTCCCACCCCTGCCACTTGGGATGCCCCAGGACAACCCCTTCTGGCCCCCCTGCCACAGSCCTCGCTCCCCTGAGTTGCCTCCTCGAGCACTCTGCCATGTGTGTGTGTAAGCAGTTGATTTGGATTGCAAAACATCCGGCAACAAAAAGTTTCTCAACGTCTTTGTAACTGAAGTCGCCCCAGGCGTAGTACCTGTGTCCTAATTCTCACTTTGCTTTCTAGTCATGAAGAAATCCATGCTGCCATCTGAGTCCTCCCATGGCGCTGTTTCCTGTGTCTGTAACGTGAACAGAAACRTATTTAGCATCCCGGGGTTTTACATCAGAGTTGCCTTTTTCACTTGCCGTAGCCTGCGCGGGCTGGGAATTTGTCATCTGTGGGAACTCGGTCTTGATCTTTGCTTTGCTTTTCCCTCCTTCCCCTGCCTCTCACCCCCGTGTTTCTGCTAGAGCAAAGAAGACGCCTACTTTGTAGTCCTGCACAAGGAAGAGGGAGCTGGCCTGGGATTTAGCGTTGCTGGAGGAATAGATCTGGAACAGAAATCAGTCACAGTAAGTGATGGCTGCGAGTCAGTTTTTTGCAAAGCTCATTTTAGAGCATTAGATCAAGTGCTCGTTTATCAAGATTCACTGCAAAGTCATAAAACAGTGTCTCGGAGGCGGCTGCCTACCATCTGCTACTGAAATCAGAGGGAAAGTGTCTGGGTAGTGTAATTTTTATTATTGGAGATGGATGCCAGTTATGTTTTCAAGCTTTAAGAGCATAGCTTGACTGTTACTGGATGGGATCGGCTGGGTCTGAGTTCCAAGGATGTAAATAAAATTCTGCATACAGCTGTAGTGGATGCAGCCTTTTGTATGAGAGTTTAATTTGCAACCCTTGAAAGTGAATTCTGTGCAGCAAAGTTTTGGAAGGTTCTTGCAAATCATGAGAGTGGCTGTTTCACATCTCTGCAAGCACTGTGGATTTCGCTTCMCATATTTTTATTGCTGCTACTAAAAACTGTTGGATTTCAGTAAATGAGTTCATAAAAGCCTTAAGAGCTTTCTGAACCAAGGACATTATGTCTGCTGTGAAGTGATTYGGTGAGTAGAAAGTGATACCAGGTRATTGAAATACTATCCAGAAAGGGATCAATGAGGCAGAGAAATCCAAGATAATCAGTGTCCCGTGTGACAGTATCTTTACACAGGATGTGCTCTTATATTCTACTCAGAAAGAGGTATCTATAACCATTAGGTGCAGAGAGTAGGAAAATGGAATGGCCTCAGCATTTGGGACTGCAGGAGCCAGTACAGGAGTGTTCTGGCTTTTATTCTGAAGCATTTTCCTGTATTTCACATTAATGAGCCATTGGTCCCAGTACAGGGAGCAGGCTCCACTCCAGCACATCTCTGGAGTCAGAGGGAGCAGGAACCAAAGACTCCTGACTCCCCGTTGGTGGTGCCATAGCTAGAGAAAATGCCATATCGAAGCAGGCACCCAAATTGGCTGCCTCAACCTTTGTCCAGCAGGTCTAGGACTGCGTGGACAGGTGCCTGGAACCATGTTGTGGCTGCTACAACGGCACAGTGCCCGACAGACCAGTCCTTAAATACCTGGCCTTGCCCTTTTGGTCAGGTCTTTTCTGTAAATGACACCCACATAAATCTCATTTGCACCCAGTAGCATTTACTTGATGATCCCTCTGCCTGTTTTTCCCTCCCCTAGAATATTCATTTCAAGACTTTATTTTTCTTTTGTATCTCTGTACATGCCTTTTCACCATACAAATTGGGATGAACAATTAGRTACCTGTTCTAATTTGTAGATTTAACACATTGGAGCCTTTCTGTGCACTGATGCTGGGCACATCTTAGATATGTGTTCCTGARAACAGCATGGGCACCTCCTAGTCAATGGGAATTTGGAGAGAGGCTGTCACACAGTGCAGTGCTGTCCTCGATAGGTCTAGTGTAGTATGAATGTCATGTGAATGTGTGTTATTGGAGGTATGTTAACCAAAGACCTTTACAGAATTTACTGAATTCGTATGAGCGGTTTGTGATGGCATTTTCCCTAGCTGTGCTTGGTTGCCTTTGGCTTAGAGGTGCAGGCCATGGGGTTGAAGCACCCCTAAGTTAACRTGTTTCTTGTAGGTCCACAGGGTGTTTTCAAAGGGAGTGGCATCCCAGGAAGGGACTATCCATCGAGGAGACCTCGTTCTGTCCATCAACGGCAAGTCCCTGGCGAGCTCCGTCCACGGGGACGTGCTGAACGCGCTGCATCAGGCCAGGCTRCACAAACACGCCGTCGTCGTCCTGCAGAAGGGGAAGGACAAAGCAAACAACTTCTCCAGACCCGAGACAGCGGCTACCGGCAGAAAATGCGTGGGGTCTGGAAAGGATGTTGCCGTGGAAATAGGAACAGGTAGGATCTTGGTCCAAGAACAGTTGGAAGGAATCCCATGCCAAACAGACAAAGACAAAAAAAGTCCATGTGTTTTAGATTAGAAGCGTCTGCATCTTATGCAACTGAAGAGAGGACATGAAAGTATCTTTAACTTTTATTTGTACTCTTTGGAGCCCAATTCCAGATTTTGTTTTTTAAAGATCATAAATAAGAGACATAGAAGGAAGTTTAGGGCCTAATCCAGTTTTGACTGAAGTTAGTGGTTGCCTTTCCACATTCTTTCAAGGCCAGGATAAACTCCTTTAAAGCAATAACAGTAATCAATGCAAGGAAACAAACAGTCAAAAAAGAGAAAGAAAAAAAACAAGGCCTGCAATTTATTATTCGTGGGGACTGAACTTCTCTTTATAATCACATATTTTAYGCTGTTTCTAATAAAAATGTAGCAAAAGTTTTTTGGTGTTGCAAAAAGTGGARCTAAATCAAATCCAAGACAGGCATCCTGTAGGAGAGCAGGAATAAAGGAATTGAGTGGGGGTCAGTGAAATCATGAATAAGTTGGTGCTTGGGCACAAGGCAACATTTCGGAGTGAAGGCGGCACTGGGGGTGTTACAGGTGGATCCCCTGTATTCCATAYGGCCAAGACACGTCGCCCGCAGTCGGTGCCCGAGTGTCCAGTGCTGCTTTGAGAGGACTGTGGCAGGATCCAATCCCGGTTCCCGCGGCCCCGAGGGGCATCAGCCTGGGGCTCATTGCCCAGGCCCTGCTGCCGTGGGCTGCCACCGACCCGTCTGAAACGTCTTGGCTGTAGACTTTGATAGTGCAGCACTGCAGTGCAGCTTGGAAGTAGCATGGAGTGCTCTGTAAATGAARGGACCTGCTTTTCTGATGTCATTTTCATGGGTTTCATATATATGGACTGCAGAATCCCTGTTGCAGGGCAAGTTTGCACGTGCCACATGAGCTGGCAAATGCCAAATATGTCCTGACTATGGACACTAGAGGGCAACATTATCTCACAAACAACATAGCGTAGAGGCGGGATTTATTACTCCTGYGTGTCTGGCGTGCCAGGCAAAGTTCAGCTTTGGAAGTTTAAGATAATAGTAGCAATACTTTGTGCTAATGCAACTGCGTAATTTTTACATTCGTTCATGACAAAAAGGATCTTTTCCCCCCAGAATTATGGGTTTATATTCTCCTGAGAAAAATCATGATCTATATTAGCTATAGCAGGATAGCATTCTGCAAGCATCTAGTGCTGATACCGAGGAGGCAGCATGCACCTATTAGTAATTCTGGCTACATTCTTAGATCTGACCCCAGAAACAATTATTTCTGCTAGTCAGTGATTGCACCTTTCCCCGCTAGAAGCTGGAATATGTTTKTTAAATGTAATGTCTGATTCACTGCTGCGGTTTAAAAATATGTGGCTCATGCCATAAGCAGGTGCTTGCAGATCAAAGAAAATGAGATGTTCTCCACATCCTGTGATTGCTGAATCATTCTGGCAAGTCCAGCCTTAATGTTGCCCACACAAAAACACCTTGTCATGTTTCTGTTGACAATGTAAAACCTGAATGTGTCTGTGCACATTTTGCACCATCTGCCCCGTGCAGCTTCTAGCAGAAACCATGTGACAGCGTGTTCAAGACTGAACAGGAACTAAACTGAATTCCTTTGTTACAGCGGGAAAACTAACATGTAAAAAACACCACAACACACAACTTACTGTTAACTGAATAACGAGATGCTGTGTTTATTCTATTGCAGATCCAAACCTAGATATGAATGATGTCATTTGTGTTGAATTATTGAAAACCTCTGCTGGCTTGGGATTCAGTCTTGATGGTGGAAAAGCTTCGATTGCTGGAGACAGGCCCTTGCTTGTAAAAAGAATATTTAAAGGTACTAGAAACACATATGCAGTAGGTGTTATCCCACTTCTTCTGTGGGGCATTGTTCAGACGGAAGTGATTTTCTTTGTCTCTCCAATTTATTATTACTTATTAGTCAAATGGTCATTATAGAAAATACTCCTGGGACTGGCTGGGGTCTGCCTGTGGTAGTAAACAGTGGTAGAGAAATCTGATTTACGAGATAAGGTTCAGTTCCTTCCTGGAATTGTCTGCTGTTGTAGATACTGAGTTTCAGCAGCATCACGTGTCCTGGTTTGAGAAGCTCCTGTCTTGTGAAAAGCCTAATGCTGATAAAGAACATGCTTTCAAAGCACCATCCTGCATTTTACCTAATTACTATTTTCCCCATTTTTTCTATTTTTGCCAAATTTCTTGTTAGTTACGACAAGTTAGCTCTCACCAGGAATATGACACGTGCGCTTTCAAAACCTTCCGCTCTTGGATGCTGTGTGGGTCGAGGTGCATGCATGAACTGAGTGTAGAAAGGAAACTCAAACCAGCCCCACCGTGCCATCCGGTTTAGCTGGGGGTGCAGTTCAGAGGAAGGAGCCCTGCTGCCTTGCTCTGGGGAAAGCCGAATCGCTCGGGGAAGCCGACGGTGCTCAGCGTGTTCACAGGAGCAGCTTTCGGTTTCCTGTCTCCTTCTAAAGGGGAAAGAATCAAACTGCTGTTTCCTGAGCTCTGCTTTGTGTGTCGGAGGGTGTGTGTGTGTGTGTGTTTTCTCCTCTTCCAAAAGCAATTGTGAGGGTGGAGATCATGTTTAATATTTGAGGTGATTAATTTATGGCCTTACACTTTCCTTTCCCCTCCCACCATCTCTCTCTGCCCGTGATTGCTAACTTGGATAAATCAATATTATAGAAACGTGCCTTGAGCAGCAGCGTTGGTTGTATCCCTCATTAGGAGGTGTTTGTGTGTTGGGGGAGTCTGTCTGGGAGTTGCAACCCGGCCTTGCTTTGGCCCTCCCTGCTAGCCAGGCTTAGCAGCCCTCAGTGTTCATAGCCCCTTGGGACACACCAAATCTGTTCAGTGAAAAGGTGCCCGTGTTGCACACAGCCTGCATAAACATACACGCAAACACACATATATATATGCAATACACATATATATTTATATATCACACACACATATACATATATTCATATATATGTTCACATTTATATATATACATGTGTGTGTGCGTGTATGTTAATATATATGTGTATCAATCATCTATTMTTCCAGGTGTATTTCTTCAGAAACACCATTTTGTGTGAGAGCAGTGATTTAGCTTTAGTTTGGTTAAAGTAACCTTCTCTGTGAGATGCAGCATGGCCTAAGTTGCTAGTGCTAAGCATAAGTGACTAGTGTTGAAATTGCCTCTGTTAGTCATACTGAAAAATGCACTTTTGTGGATTTTTTTTTCACTTTGTTCCCCCTTTGCTCCTAGGTGGTGCTGCAGAGCAAGCTGGAAAAATAGAAACTGGAGATGAAATTCTYGCCGTCAGTGGAAAATCGTTACTTGGCCTCATGCATTACGATGCCTGGAACATTATTAAATCTGTACCGGAGGGTCCTGTCCAGTTGCTGATCAGAAAACCCAGAACTTCAGTATGATGCAATTGCTGCATCTGATTGCTCCTGCTAAGACAAAACATTTTAAACCATCTTGAAGCTGTCTTTTCATTTCTAACACCACACAGAAGTGTCTTACTGCCCTCCCGAGGAGTGTGATCAGCCCCGTGGAGCCCTGAGCACACGTGCAATGGGCCTCGTCCCATCTCCCCAAGRTACCAAGCACCTTGGAAGCCAAACGCTGCGGAGATTTTTGTGCTGTCTGACCGTTTTGCTGGAACTTCAAGACATTTCCCTGGGCTTGGCTTAAAGTATTTTGACCAAGATAAATAACGCTGTGCCTGTCCCTGATATTTTTAGTATCCGCAGAGGGTTGTGAGCGTAACTTGGTTGCCCTCCTGTTGCCAAGGATGGGTATTTAGACTGTTGTATTTCACTTAGCTATAGCTAAGCTTACTAATTTGACTTCAGGGCACTTGTTTAGGGTCTGCTCTTTATTTCTTATAATAAGAGAATGTCTGGAACAATCTCRCTTTATTCTTCTAAGTGCAGTTTTGCTAAAAATGTGTGACAAAAGAGAAGTATAATTTTGCACAACTTTTTAAGCCTAAAACAGGAGTGTTTTATCACAAAGCTGAAAAATCCCCTTAAAATTGATGAACTAACTCAGCATCCATCACAACTGAATCTGTTCTTAGTAGCAATTTGTATCCRGAGGTTACTTGGCATTAACGCAGTGGAAATCTGTGTGCAAGAAAATCATGTTCCAATATCAGGTGATTGTCCATCAATAATGGGTACATTGAGCAGTTGTGATTAAAATGGGAGCAATGAAAGATTGGGGTCTGAATGTTAAGATTTGGGCTTCTAACTTCAGGCACCTTTAAAATCTGTGTATTTTTAGAATTAGGATAACTGCAAGTGCTGAGCACTTGGCAATTGCACAGGTTTCAGCGATTGCTAATCATGTCCAGAAGCTGGGCCAGTTTTCTTTGAGTAAACCACGGGGAGTGGTTTGCAGCTGGCTGACTTCAAAAACACAAGCTGGAAAACAGTGGTCCGAGGGTGCAGGTTTTACCTTCCTTTCCTGCCCCCTGTGTATTTTTGGTTTTAGCACCCACACATGGATGGCTAAGCAGCGTCCAGGAGCTGCAGGAGGCAGCAGCCCCCCAGCCAGATGAGCCGAGGACAACTTGGCGCCTGAGCCCTCGGCTGCCGCTCAGGCTCCTCCGGGAGCCGCTGCAGACCTGTGGCTCCATCAGCGTCTGCAGGGAGCCAGGAGGCCGAGCAGCCACCACAGAGAGGCCTGTGCTGGTGGCAGGATCCTCCTCACAGAGGAAGACACCGTTCTGAGGAGCAGGCCGGGAGCAGGCGAGCGGGAAAATGCCGTGCCACATTTGCTGGTGGATCCAGAGGTTTCCATCTTTCTCGGGGACGTGCTGGGAAACAGAGCTGAGCTGTGCTTGTCGCTTGGGGAACGGGACGAAGGCGTTTGGCGATGACAAACTGCGAGGCCTCGGTCAGGAACGCCCCAACTCTGATTGTAGCCGACAGCGTGTATAATAGATACATAAAATGCATGTGGAGTTCGGTGCAGCRTAGTGACTACGTACCTGTATGTGTAGAATACGTACAAGTGCAGTACTGACTTTTTACTGCTTCCGTAGGGTAGCTCACAGTTGTGTTTTAGGAAATGCCATTTCTTTCCTTTCCACGGTTTAAAATTCCTCAAGTCCCGACCCAGGGAGCACGTTGCTCCCTCACTCCCAAGCCAGCGTGAACTCCAAGGTGAAATGTTCATTTTGTAAATTAAACTTCATTTGAGGTGTCTTCAAATGAAACATGGTGACTCTTTTCAGACACTTATTTGCGGGTACTGTTCATTGTGAGTGATTTAGAGAGSTTTTATTTTTCAGTAATCGAATCCTGTTCGGTATTTTCTTTTACATGCACGTAGATGTGTGTTGGATCAGTAACAGCAAAGAGAGGGGGGGAATTTTTGTGCGTGGTTCAGTAGTGACTATAATTTAAAAGATAGATTTAATGTTTGAAGACTAGTAGTTGTTATGGATAGAATGACACACTTCACTAGCTTTGCAGCAAGAAAAGGATTTCTTTAGCCCTGATTGTTTCTGTCCCTGAAAACAGCTATTTTTTTGTGAAGGAACAGGAAACATCTCAGTGATGCTACCAGTGTTGAAACCATTGAAGTAGCATTTCTCAATGCCTCTGTTGAGGTGACAATCCCTATAAAAACCCCAGAATTTGTAGGAGATGGTTCTGGTTTATTAAGAACGAGTTGGAAAGATAAACCGAGGTAGGGAAGCTGCTGTTCCATATTTGGCAAAGTAAATGTTACTTTTCTGAGCGCCCGGTAGTGCTAAAATGGCAGAGGGAGTTTCATTAATTCATCAGTATTTGGTAGGTTTGTGAGGATTTTTAGCCTTGCTCGTGGCACGTCGGTCCCTGGGGCGATTTTGTCTGCGCAGGAGAGTTGGCCAAGCCCAAGGAAGGTGCTGGTGACTCAGAGCTACCTCTAGGAAGGCAAGAAGTGATGTTGTAATTACGCGCTCCATCCCAGACGGGACCTGCGGGCTTTCCACATGAGGCTGAATTTCCTCCTAGAGGGAGTGAGTCTGGCAGGGCTGCTGCCTCCGGAGCCCGGAGCAGCTCTGGGGAATGCGCATCCTGGCAGGAGAGCGGGCTCGAGTGCAATACTGGGCAATAGCCTGTCCTGCAGCATTTTGCACCTGGAAGCAATATAAGTTGGGGAGGGAGCCATATCAGAGGATTTTCTTGCTAAAAAAAGACTCCTTTGAGGGCAACTACGTATTAAGAAACTGTTGAGTGACTCGTGTTTCCTAGTAACTCTCACTTAAAAATAACCCTGATTAATATTCTGCAGTTGTTCTAGTCAAAGGCAGAAGAAGCCATTCCCAGAGAGGAATGTTTACATGCTTCTGCATTTAGGGTATGTAAATGTACATGCGGAAATACTGAGGAGGAGTAGACTAGATCATGTGAGAAATTGGGATCCCACTCTAGGTAGGTTTTGTGTATTAGGCCGATACACTTGTATGATATTGTATATTTACACTTTTATTTATATAAATAAAACTTCTTCTAATGACAACTGTTTAAAATGCCTTGTATATTATAAAAAGTGAGTGCAATAACATCAAATAGATTGTACATTTTCAAATTTGCTGTCTCTGTTATGTAAATCTGTATCTCCATAAACTGTTTTGTTTGGGTTTTTTAGTGATTTTGAAAATAAATGGTATCCTTAGTACTCCTGTAGATATTTATTTCTGTTATGCCAAGGTCTGTCCTGTTATGAGCTGGAAGTGCCCGGGCTGTTCTGGAGAGCACGGTCAAAGGTGTTGAAGTTGTTGAGATGTGCGTGGGCTACACGCACCCTCTTAGTGCTGTCGTTTAAGTGGGATTAAAGCATTGGGGAGGGCCAAAGACCACGAGACGAGACATGTTCAAAAACCAGTGCTGTCCRAGAAGAAATGGACACAGCAGCGGGTCCCCGCGAGGTAGGACGAGCTGGAGGAGGGGTCTTGTTCTGGGTGAAGAGCTGATGTCCACGTCGCAACCCCGCATGAGGTGCCCGCATCTTTCACTTGCTTTCGAAACCTGTAAGGTGGCRTTGCAGCAAATCCCTCCAGCCCCTGAAACGGGGCAGTGTGTGCTGAGCACGCACTGAGTGCACTAAGGCCTTTCCCACCTGAGACCGGTTTTATCGCGGTGTTTTTGGGATGCAGAGCAGAGGAACCACATGGATTCTGGCAGGCCACTGGGAAGGGGTGCTTGAGCTTAAATTAAGTGGGGGAAAACATTGGTTTTCCTGTCTTAATGGCACAAAAGGCAGCAGCCTCATGTGGCCTGCTGTTCCCTGGGCAGGTTCCTGAGAGGAGCACGCAGGTATCTCCTCCCACTGGTCTCCAGCATGGACATGACTGTATGTGGCGACATGTGGGCCTGTGACAGCAGGCCCTGCCCGTTCGCTTTCGGTTTCTGAGCGCTGCGTGCTGGAAGCATGAGCAGATAAGGTCACATGTGGAGGGAGAAGTCCCAGCCCTTCTGCTGAGTCATCCCGTGCTGATCACSAGGCAGGGAGGCCACGGGCAGCCCAGCGTGCCCGGCACTGGGCGGGGGAATGTGGCGCTGCCCCAGCCCCGGCCTGGGCCCTGCCGCCATTTCCCCTTCTCCCTGGCGGGCGGCCGCGGCCGCGAGCGCTACCCGGCCGAGCCAGCTCCTGCCCGCTGACCTTTATAGATGAGACAGTGCGAGGTGTAACATGTTAAGAAATTGTAAGAATAATAAACAAGAATCATGAAAATCACAATAATGTGAGAAGGGGGCGTGCGGGGTGCAACGCTATGTACTGCAGAGAAGTCTCGGGTGACTGGTGGCCCAGCGTGGCTTGCTGCAGTGCATCTGCACTGTGGGAGTCCTTCGTCTCCTCCGAGGTGCACCGTGACCCCTTCCTTGGTGGGATAGGGAAAGAAAATGCATTTTTTGCAGGGAAAGTCTCCTCTGCTTTCCCATCTCCCTGCTACCCTCGCACTGGGACAGCCCCCTCCCTCCCTCTCTGCTTCCTATGACTCCTTCATAGATCCAACCTCCTGTCTCGCCTTCTCCAATTTTTTTTTCCTAGTGTCCAGCAGAGTTCAAGTGTAAAAGACAGGTTTTTCCCAAGATCGCCTGTCAAATGCTTTAATTAAAATCTTGGTTGCCCCAGATGATGCCCAAGTGAAAAGGAATACAGTGCAGATGAGGCCACGAACTTAATGCCTAAATGGATTAGCGCCGTGACATTGTTGACACACTAAGCCATCCGAAAGCAGTAGACAATTACTTCCGTAATCTGGTCCCCTTAGGGGCTCTGCGTTGCCTAATGCAGGTGCCTCTTGGAGAGCTGCTGTTTTCTGAAGGCTTCAGAGCGTCTGCGGTTGGGGAACTGGGCCCTAAAGGCAGGAAAACCTTGTGGTTTCAGATACAGCTTCTTTTATTCCTGTAGCACTAGGAGAGCTGTTAMATAGATAAGTGGCAATACCTAATTTATTATTTGTGATCAAGCTTGTGATTCAATCCAAAAAAATCCTGTCACTTGTCACTTTTCTTGTCTTTCCTGATGTTTTTTCCTGTTAGCATCCCTCATCGTGGCTGAAGTCCAAAAATAGCCCGAAAGTCTCTGAGACTTAAGAATTCATGAATATTTCTCTTCTCCAGCTCCAATTTACATCATGCTAAACTCTCCCAAAGGCTAAATGTCACGTCCCCGCGCAGGGAAGATGTAGAGGAGAGCCATGGGCAGGGAATGTGGTCGTGCTTGGGAGGAGGGTGTGCGGCAGCTGGGAAGTGGAGCCTCTTTGTGAAGGGGAAGGTGACACCACGGAGAGGAGCATGTGACTGCAGGCAAGGGGAAGCGCTATGCCTGGATGTTGGCCGCACACGTCGTGGTGCTCGAGACACAGCACGGGGCTGGCGACCCACTGCAAGCACCCAAACTCTCTCTACCCCAGGGCTGAGACCCTGCAAGCACAGCCCAGGAGTCTGCTGCTTTTCCGTATTCCCAGGTACTGGGCAGCTCCAGCAGCAGCTCTGGCTCTGGTGCCCGGAAGCTGTGTTACCACAGGATGATGACTGCTGCTTCTGGAGGGAAGGAGGCTGTGGCACGGCTGCCCTTGGTGAAGTGCTGGCATTGCCTGCCCTTTGCAAAGCGCCTTAGGCTCCTTCGGGCCCCATGTTTGCCAGGAAAACCAGCCAGGACTTCCTATTCCCCCTGTACTCATGTCTTCCTCAAAGTAGTTGTCATTTAAAAAACATTTCCCAAGCGAGTCATGACTGCAATATTAATTCTGAAATTTATTTAATTATTTAGTTCATTAAATGATCACCAAAAAAAAAAAAAAGAAAAGAAAAAAGAAAAAAAAAAAAGAAAACAAAACAAAACAAAAATAGTTCCTGGTGCAAATACCCCTCCCCGGTGAACTACCTCCTGCCCTTGCAGTGCGCAGCCTGCCCAGCTCTGACACCATGGATGTTTTTCAGCAGTCAGGTCATTTCTGAAGCAGATCAATAATATAAACAGAACCCGTCCACGTTTTGGTTTACAGCCCAACACAGACGGCCTCACCTCGGTGTGAGGCTGAATCAGTCTCAGACGGTGGCTCCAAGCAAACAAGCTAACCTGAGCTCACACCAGCAGCATGGCCACATCCCTGTGGGGTGCAGAGGGAAGGTGCGAAGGGAGGAATCACCTCCCTTGTCCCCAGCGAGCTTCAGGGCACAAGGCAGCAGCTGTCTTGGGTCTGCTCCCACATTGGCACTGATGCAGGAGCTGCAAATGGGGCAGCTCAGCCAGGCAGAGTGCCCCAGAGCAGCCAAACGCCCGAAGAGGCTGTGATGAGTGTAGCAGTGCTCTGCTCAGAGCCCCCGGGCACTCTTGGTGGTAACTCAGGGCACCTGCACACTGCCCTGCTCCTCCGTGAAGCCAGCAGGAGGGTCAGCTCCAGGTGGCACCTTCGTAGCCCTGCCGTCTGCCTGATGATACCCATGGCACTAAAGCGACCTGTTTTCTTTCAAATTTTACAACCCAGGCAGCAACTCAGTGCCTTTGCAGCAACGTAGCCGATCCTTGTAGGACACAGAGGGAAAGTTTGAGGTGGGGAATCTCCTGCTTTGTCCCTGAAGGGCTGCAAGGTACAAGGCAACTGACATCGCGGGTCTGCTCCTGTCCTTGGTGCCAAAGCAGGAGCTACCAATGGGGACCTTGAGCCGGACACAATGTCCCAGTGCAGACAAAACCAAAATGCCCAAGAGTCTGTGATGAAGGCAGGAGGCTCAGCTCCAGACGGGACCTCCATAGCCCCATCATCTGCCTAATGATACATGGGGGCATTAGAGAGAACCGGTTTCTTCAAATTTTTATGATGTGAGCTGTCTCCTGGAGGACGRCGTTTCACTTGCAAAGGCAGCACRGGAGAGCTGTGGCAGCTGGGATGAGCAGTGCCACAGGGAACAAACCCAAAGCCCTCCTCAGTCAGACCCACTGGCTTCCCCTCGTGCCTTTGGAGGAGCTCGGCTCAGCTCGGGTCGCCCTGCACTCCGAGGGCCGCCACAGGAGAAGGGGCTCCCGCCTCCCCGCGCCAGCCGCCCTCAGCATCGCC